CTTGTGGCGTTCCGCGCGGATTTCTTGGATCTGCGCTGGGCTCTCTCCCTGGCGCGCGGAGCGCGCCAGGGGCGGCGCCAGAGACGCCAGCGGAGGGGGAGCCCAGCGCGGATCCAAGAAATCAGCGCGGAGCACCAAAAGTTTATGTTTATGCCGTTCTTCCTTCTTCGACTGGAAGCGGGGTCCGTCGCTAACCCACGCGCCTTACAGTAGGGGCCCGACCACAACAAACCTTTCACAGGAACCCAACCCTGATACTCCAGGGCGTCCACTGATTTTTAGTGTGGGCACGCCACGCTTCCCATAGCAAAAACATCGAAACCCAAGAAACCCAGGGCAACCTGGAGGCGAGCAGGGTTTTCTTGGCATGGGTCTCCGCTGCAATCCATGCAATCCATGTTTCGGGGGCGCGCAAGTATGGATTAGCGATCCATGGGTTCGGCGCGCGGTCGCTACATCCATGGATCGGGGAAGGGGCCCTCCCCAAAATGCGGCCGGTGCCGCCCCCTTCGGCGGCGGAAATCCGCGATTTCCCTTGGAAACGGGACCCGTCGCTAATCCACGCCCCTTTGGTCCATGCTTGCGATCGCCTGAATGTTGGCGCCCTCTCGGTTCTCAGAAGCGATCCCCCGCCTCCCCAGAAGGCCGTCCCCCTCCTCCTCCTCCTCCTCCTCCTCCTCCTCCTCCTCCTCCTCCTCCTCCTCTCCCCCTCCTCCTCGTCCTCGTCCTCGTCCTCGTCTCGTCCGTCCTCGTACTCTCCTCCTCCCCTCCTCCTCCTCCTCCTCACTCTCCTCCTCTCCTCCTCCTCTCCCTCCTCCTCCTCCTCCTCCTCCTCCTCCTCCTCCTCCTCCTCCCCCCCCCCGCCTCCCCCGCCTCCCCCGGAAGGCCGTCCCCTTCTCGCGCCACTCGCAGGTGCGCGCCGCCGGCATGGCCTGCACCGCCAGGCCGCGGGCCGACAGCGAGGGCGCCAGCCTCAGGGACCACGCCCGGCACGGCTTGTACTTCAGCTGGCCAGCGAGCTCGCTGCCCTGCTCGACGGCACACACGAGCGACCCTCGGCTTAGGTCGGGCATGTCCCCCTACAGGCGGATTCTAAACGACAAATGAAAGGTAGTAATAACAGAAAAACCCAAACAGATTGCCAAAAGTAGTCTCACAATCGTCCCCAGAGTATTTTTTTACTATTTTTGAATCTTCGTCAGGCCCGACTTGACCCTTGGCGAGAGCGGCCTGTGGTCCGCTGCGAGCGAGGGGGAGAAGTGAGAAGGGGAAGGCCCTTTCAGAAGGTTCGGAAGTCCCCCGGCCTTCCAAGACAACTGTTCCGAGCTTTCCCCGAGACACACAGACAACTTCTCGGAAGGCGCGAGGGCTTCCGAGAGGTCCCGCCGCCCTTTGAGAGGGCCGCCTCCTTCTCGTTTCCACCCCTCGCTCGCCGCCGATCTTGTTGCACGGCCGGCGGGTCGCTGCGCACGCGATGCGGCAAGAGCGGCCCGCGTGCCCAGGTCTGGCTCCTCCTCCTCCTCCTCCTCTCCTCCTCCTCCTCCTCCTCCTCCTCCTCCTTCCTCCCCTCCGCCTCCTCCTCCTCCTCCTCCTCCTCCTCCTCCTCCTCCTCCCTGGCCCCCCTCTCTCGAACTCCCCGGAGGCCGCGCGCCCGAGGGCCAGTCTGGCGAAGGGCCACCCCTGCGTGCCCCTGGCCTGTGGCCGCAAGCTGACGTACGCCCGGGCGCTGTGCCCCGAGCACGAGCTGCGCTGCACGAGGCCTACGCCGGAGGACCAGACCCACCGCGCGCACCTGACCCCTCGAGGCTCTGGTCGGGCTGCCCGTGCCAGCGCTGTGGCCCACCAGGCGGGGCTCCCGCCCGAGCCCGTGCGCCCGATCGGGCCAGCGTCGCACCGCCCTGTCGGAGTTGAGCCCGTTGGGGCGGGCCATGGGCGGCCGGAAGGGTGCATGGGGAGGGGGGGGGAGGTGGGAGGCGGGAGGTCGGAGGAGGTGGGAAGAGGGAAGAGGGAAGAGGGAGGAGGAGGAGGAGGAGGAGGAGGAGGAGGAGGAGGAGGAGTAGGAGGAGGAGGAGCGAGGAGGAGGAGGAGGAGGAGGAGGAGGAGGAGGAGGCGGAGAAGGAGGAGGAGGAGGAGGAAGAGGAGGAGGAGGAGGAGGAGGAGGAGGAGGAGGAGGAGGAGGAGGAGGAGGAGGAGGAGGAGGAGGAGGAGGAAGGGGCCCAGACGTCGAACGGGCTCCAGCGCGCGGAGGGCGCCGGAGGCGCCGCCCGAGGGGGATGCTGGGGAGGGGAGCTCCGCGCCGACCCGAGCAGCCCGCGCAGGCCTCGCAGAGCTCAGGCTCGCGCGGCCTTCTGCTCCTCTGCATCGACAGGCTGGAGTCCTCGCCCATGGACCAGCTCATGCTCCCGCGCAGCGTCGACGACAGCCACGGCAGGACCGTCAGCGACATGGACGCTCCGTCGCCGGACGCCGACGCCCTCTGCTGCACCACCAGGTTCGGCGA